GTGCCGTCACCGGAAAAAGAAAAGTATACGTGAGTAAGCCGTAAATAATTAATTATAAAATGTCTCACGAAAGTTTAAATAATTTAATTTACATTAACTTGTTATATACCTATTTCTTTGTATTATTTAACGTTAGAAAGAACTGTATGTTTTTCGTTGGTCCATATTTGAGATGTGAGATATCATACTAATTCCTGAACATTTCCATTAATATATCTGTCTCGCTCTTTCTTTAACTTCCCCCTCTTACTTTTTGGATCTATACACTAAATGTGCTCCCAATAAATAATCCTTATTAAATTAAGTGGTTTATTTCATATATAAAAGTGGAGACGAGGATGGGATTTTTAAATAAAAATAAAGATATTTTACATATCGAAGTAACTATAAGTGGGTAGGTAATTTAATTCTTTACCTTTCAGTAAGAAATGCTGGAAGGTGTTCAGTGGCAACGAGATGGGGGCGCTTCTGGGCTGCTGGCTGCTGGAGCAGCACGAAAAGACCAGCTCTGATGGAGACGTGTACCTGCTGGCCAGCTTCGTCAGCTCCAAGATGCTGAAAGCCATTGTCAAAGGAAGAGGATACTTCGTAGAGACCCTCACTGGCTTCAAATGGATGGGTTAGTGATTTTATTTTGAATTTTTATTAATATTGTTGGATAATGTTACTGTTGATTGCGACTTCGTTCGCTTTAAATTAAAAATAAAAACATAGCCTATGTTAGTAACAGATAAATTACCTTTCTAACGGTAAAAGAATTTTTAAAATCGGCCCAGTAGTTTTTGCGTTACATACAAAAAAAATCTTTCATCTTTTTAATATAAGAATAGATAAAGAGGAAAGATTTGTATTTTTGTATGTATTATAACTCAAAAACTACTGTTCAGATTTTAAAAAATATTTTACTATTAAAAAACTACGTTATCAGTGAGTACTATCTTACTAATATTAAAAATGCAAAAGTTTAAATAGACGGATGGATGGATGTTTGTTAGAGTTTGTAGTCTAAACTACTGAATAGATCTCGATGAAATTTGACATAGATGTAGCATACTCTGGAAGAACACATAGGCTTTTTACTTTCGTTTTTCCTTATTTCACGCGGACGGAGTCGCGGGCGATAGTTAGTGAGAAATGAAAGCAGTATATCGCGTTTTTTTGTCAACTGTGTAATTGTTAATATTGTGATTATAATTAATGTCGTGGTGGCAGGCAATACCACGCTAGTGCTGTCGCAGCAGGACAAGCAGACCTTGTTTGCGTTTGAAGAGGCCATCGGCTACATGTGCGGCTCGCGCGTGCCCGACAAGGACGGCGTCTCCGCCGCCGTGCAGGTCTCTCTCTCTCTCTCTCTCTCTCTCCCCCTCCCTCTCTCTCTCTCCCTCTCTCTACCTATCTATTATTTTACGTGAAAGATACTTATTTTATTATATATTACTCACAGATAAATTACCTTCCTAATAGTGAAAGAATTATTAAAATTGACCCAGTAGTTTTTGAGTCTTTATTTTAAATACATAAAAAAGAATAATACAAATCTTTCCTCTTTATAATATTAGTATATATTTGTATATAGGTGGCATCTCTAGCCTCACAGTTATACTCTACGGGGTCGTCTCTGACGCAACAATTGCAAGCATTGTACGTACGATACGGATACCACGTGTCCTACAACGGCTACTACATCTGCCACGACCCCGCCGTCATTCAGAAGATATTCAGACGTATTAGAAACTATCATGGATCTGGTGTGGTCAGTATCAATTCATACGAAATAAGTCATGTAAATCAACTAAAATTAATAGAGTTTAAAAATATGTATAGAGGAGGCATTGTTGATATTTTATATTATTACTAACGCTATCTATATAGCCTCAAAAGCACGTGTCAATGTAATTATTTGTATTTAAATTATTTTTTTATAATTTATTTATTTTTATAATATTGTAAATGCGAAAGTTTAGATAGATGGATGAATGTATAATATATTTAAACGGTTATTATATGTTTAGTTCATTTTATAACAAAAGATGCAGTTTATTATAATTTTATATTGTTTTATTACATGTCAATACATAACACGAGTGATATGTTACCTGTCAAAAAAACACCGGTGAAAAAATGTTGTTTACTGCCTCGTCTATACATTGTTTAAATCTCTGCATTAAATTAACTAATATCGATAAGCTGATCTTTAAAATCGATTCAAAGTTCATTAACAACACATACAACCATATTTCTCAATAAACCTCGTATACGTAAATATACAGTAGAACCTCGATAAGTTAAAGTCCAAGGGAAACAAAATATTTTAAGTTATCAAAGGTCTGTGTTGTAGAGGTTTTGGGCTCTGATGGGAAGGGAACATATTATTTTAAGTTACCTAGGTTTAAGTTATCGAGGTTCTACTGTATTTGTCTGTATTTTGTACATTTTCTAGTATCCGAAGAAAGTGGGATCATGCGAAATTGTTCACCTAAATGATTTCACGGAAGGCGTGAAAATACCCGAAAAGGCAAACGGAGAGGCACATTTAAGTAAGTAAAATATTGATAAACTAGAAAATGCTCGCGACTTCAGCCACGTAAAGTAAAAAAATGAGCTTATGTTACTTTTAGATAAATTACCTTCCTAACGGTGAAAGAATTTTTAAAATAGACGCAGTAGTTTTTATGCCTATTCATTACAATCACAGTTTTCTCTAAGAACTAAATGAATCCCACGGGGATCGTAACTATTCCCGGGATAAAAAGTAGCCTATGTGTTCTTGCAGACTATGCTTTAAACCTGTGCCAAATTTCATAGAGATCCGTTCAGCCGTTTAGGCTACAAACGCTACCAAACATCCATCCATCTAAACTTTCGCATATATAATATTAGTAAGATAAATCTACTTCATTTTTTTTTCGTAGTGTTTTTATGAAAATCATCACCAGCTATATTTCTTTATAAGGGGCTCGGAGCGTACCCTAAGTTAGGGTGACTAGGTCAACCTGCACTGCGGGTTGACTTCACACATATCTTTAAATTTCTTCGCCGATATGTGCATCACGATGTTTCCTTCATCGTAAGAACGTCGGGAAAATTATGTACATATGTAAAATTCAAAAATCACATTGGTACATGGCGGGATTCAAACCAAAGACCTCTAGAATACAAATCAAGTACTTAAACCACTGAGCCACCGACGCTCTATATACAATCATCGACATGTCCAAAATATTGTGTTATGTTAAATTACGTGTGGCAGCGGTTCACCATCACTAGGGTAGGCTCCGAGTTTGGTGATGTAGCGAGGTGATGATGATGATGGTGGTGTAGAGGTGATAGGCACGGGGCTGGACCAGGAGTACCGCAGCGGGGAGATGGTGTCGTTCCGCTGCAGCGGCGGGCTGGGCGTCACCGTGCGCACCAGCGGCACTGAGCCCAAGCTCAAGTACTACACCGAGCTCGTCTGCACCGCGCATACTGAACGGTATGCTTTACTATTCAGATATCACGATTTTATATACGGTGGTAAGCGAGTTGTCACTTGAAGACCGCTGCCCATCCGAGCAAACATACCCAATTGCGTCGATTTGACGAAGAGACATAAAGAGAATATTTCCCCTATCAAAGCGTGCTCTACACCTTCAAATCCACTTTCTCTTCCCATTTTATCCTCAATAGGGTGGGAATGGAAAGGGATTAAAACTAGGCCTCCAGAACGCACTCTTGTCGGACTGTTAGCGAAATTACTTCACGCCTGTCTTCTGTGTGGTCGTGGTTTTGCGTAGGACAAACAACCCCGCCTAGTTACGGTCATGACCTCCACCAGTTTCCTTCCTTCCTTCTTCCTTCCTTCCAGCACCTTCTTTCTCATACCTATACTAAATAATATATGTACTCCTTAATTACACACAGTATTGTGCTGAATATTCGAGATTGGCATAAGTCGCTCTCTTTCACTCTACCCATAATACTTATCTTTCTTCTCCCTCGTGTAACGAAATGTGACGCGACCTTGAAATTATAGCGATGCAATACATGATTTAACTCTTATTATGTCGATATATATTGTACAAGTTTGAGTTTGAAATTACATTTTATTTCACAGGGAACAAGAAGAAATGAGACAGAAACTAGAAATAATGGTAAAAGAGTTTATAGAAGAACTTTTACAGCCAAAAGAAAACGGTCTTATTGAGTGAATATATTCTTTGAAACTTCGATTGGCTGTTGTCAGTATATTGACACTACCTTATATTACGAAGAAATTATTTAATTTAGTGTAAATGTAAATGTTACGCACAATTAATATTTTATTTAATTAGCACAAATTCAAAACTTCTCTAGACAAGATCTTGATCCGGTTGACTTTTTATTTTTCATTTTTAAGAGAGAAAAAAAGACAGATTTTATGGGCGAAGTACAGAATAAATATAAGTAAAGAATAGTAAAATAAATTACTTTAATTTTGTCAAGCCAAAGCATTCGAAATTATTTTACGCTGTGATAGTTTTATTTGAAATATCAATTTGGTAGACCAAAATGGTCTACCAAAATCCTCGTTTGTAAAATTTTAGAAAATATTATTCTTTAGCTATAATGTTACTGGCAATTTCAAATTTCTGGAAGAAAATAACTAAAACCTCTTTGGAAATTACTTGATCTCCAATTGGCATTCTTAACTCACTTATGCTTAAAGCTTAGTTTTAAGTTGTTACTGAATACTAGAATGTATGTTTTCATATTGTTACTTCGTGTTAATTTTTTGTTTTATTAAATATTTGTCAATCTTAAAGTAAAAAAAAAAAAAAATATTTTCGAAATACTTGTATTTGAAAATTCCATCTGTGCATATTATTACGTGACTACAAAGCATTCCGATTTTTGATACATTTAAATGTGTTATTAGAATAAAACGGTCTTGGACCTGAATCTAATGTGATAGTCTTTCTCTTTGTGATTATTTTATTCGTAACTAATAAATGTTCTCATATTTTATTTTAACAAATAAAATAATAATAATAAAAAATGTGGTTTTTTTTACCTGATTACATTATTTCCACTATTCGCCACTATTATATTTTTTATAACATAAGGTGACAAACGAGCAAGCGGCCACTTGAATCCACCGAAATGGCGAAGCGACCGCTGCCCATAGACATCCGCAGATGCGTTGCCTACCCTTCATTGACGGAGGAGGTGACGCACATAAAGATGATATTTCCCCTTCCTATGCATCTCCTCCATCGTCAAATCCACTTCCCCTTTCTCTCCTTATAAGAAAAGGGTGGTAAAGAGAAAGGGATTTAAATTAGGCCTCCGGCACCACACTCATCAGACGAAACACGGAACCGCTTCCACTTCACTCCTGTCTTCTGTGTGGTCGTGGTATTACTGGGGGCGTGCCGGCCCTGCAGTGCTAACATGTTAAAGCGGGCACTACCACTATAAAAATATAATTAAAAATCACTTAAATGTGAAAAAAATATAATTAACCCATTAAATGCTACGATTTTAAATGACCAAAGTGTCCACGCAAAAAAGTCCGTGGTAGTTAATGTGTTACATTATGTAACTTTTTTCTAATCCTCGTCAGTAGCTTCTGTCTTCCTGGCCTTCTCCGCCAGCTCCTCCTCCCGCTCCTTAACACTCTGTTCTATCAGGTTGTCTAGCTCCGGACTCAGTAAAACTGACAGACCCGCGGATATAGGCACCTTGGAATTTATAAAGCAATACATATATATGGTATATTAAATAGTAAGAGGCTCAGTGGTTTGAGCAGTTGTCTTGTAATCTACAGGTCATGGGTTCAAATCCCGCAGTATACCATTGTGATCTTCGATTTTTAGAATTCCACATGTACATAATTAACCCGACGTTCGGGTAAATTAAGTGCATATTAAATTCTCGTACGGTGAAGGAAACCGTGATTTAACATCGGCGAAGATATTCAAAGATATGTGTCAAACAACCCATAGTGGGCCAGCGTGGTTGAGTATGGCCTAGTCACCCCTTACTCGGGGTAGGCCCCGAGCCCTTCTGCGTGGACCTTTATGGAGCTGGTGATGATGGTGATGAATATTAACATATGAAAGTTTAGATGGATGGATGTTAGAGTTTGAGGCCTAAACTGATAAACGGATATCAATAAAAGTCATAGACGTAGAGGATAGTCTGTAAGAAGACATAGTCTTACTTTTTTTTATTCCACGCAAACTAAGTCGCGAAAGTTAATAAACCAGTATTTGTGCATTTGAATAATATGTAGAAAAAAAATATTAACGTAATAGGCGTCAATATACCTCAGAAAATACGTATGACGCGGCCTCCCATTGCTTTAGATGACCTTCCAATACTGTAGTACAAGCCTCAGCTTTTGGTATAATCTTTGCAAGGAGACTGAAAATTTTCAAATAACACTCATTTAATCTAACTCTCACCGCCCTTTCTTAGGGTAGGGCGTTGTTGGGCGGTCGCCCAGGGCGCCGGAAATAGTTGCCACAGGTTTGTGAATTACTCTCAAATAACACTTAACTTATCGGCTCCCCGAAAAGGACGCCGTATAAATCTCGCCCAGGGCGCTAGTATAACTGAGACTGCAAATATTTTTAATTTTACTTCTCTTCACAAAGGTCACTCTAACCTATAAAGCGGCATACAAGTGGTGGTGAGGAACTCCTGCTGCAGCGCGGGAATGAAGCACTTGTCGCGGTCCATGAAGGCCAGCGCCGGCTCCCCGCGGCTCTTCTCTAGCTCCCCTTGCTTGAAGAACTCCGTCAGAACTGCTGCCTAAAAATAAACGTCAAAAAATCTAGTTGACACCCCGGGTGTGATTTCTGCGGGGCCCCTTAACTGTAATACAAACCAGTACGAAAAAAAGCGCCAGACGCGCCCTTTCATCCCTTTATGGCGCTTTTTTTTAGTCCGGCGCCCCATCGCACCCTACACTAAATCCAGTAATCGTACCACAGCACGGGCGTGAAAG